ATTGGTACACCTTATATTTCAACACCCGATTCAACACCTTCCGGTTTAATTATTAAAAAATCACTATTTTTTAGTCTGAAATTAAAAATAGATAAGTATAATGATACAATCATGCATATAGAATATAAGAACCGATTGAATTGACTGTATTTATATTATATTTTTAATGATTAAACCAGAGGGTGTTGAACCGGAAGATGTACTTAACATTTCCCAAAGTGTTTTGCAAGTTATCCTCCTAAATTTTTTTTGAAGGACCTATTTAAAAACTTATGTTCTAATTAATATTTTTAACAACCAACTATTGAATTAAAAGTTTAATTTATACAAATATTGCATGTTAATTTTTAAATTATTCTAGTAGACCTAACTCTTTCTTTGATTACAAAAAATTTAACACTGTTAAATATATATTAGTAAATAAAATTTCTTTGATCAAAGAATTATAAATATTAGATCAATATGAAATTTTATATACATGATTTATATAAATAAAACTTTCAATTCAATAGTTGGTTTTTGAAAATATTAATTATAAAATAAATTTTTAGATAAGTTTCCCAAAAAAATTTGAGAGAATGACCAACTCTACACTATTCTCTATAAATATATGGAAAAGTGTATATTAGTAGGATCTCCAAAAAATTAAGCAGAAAAACACTTAAAACTATGCATTTTAATAAATTTTCATTAAAAAACACTAAAATAACTTACTTTTTAAAACAAAAATTATATTGTTTTTTAATAAAAAATGATACTATTTTAATTTTTTATTATATTTTATTAATATAATGTATTTCTTATTCATATATATATATATATCACTATTCTCTATGTTTTAAAACCATCAATATTCTAGAAGGGAGTTTGAAAATGTAAATTAAAATATTAAGAAAATAATCAATTGAAATATTCATATGTTTTTCAAGGTGTTGAAGTGGGAAAATCCTACATCGAGTATTAAAGTAAAAAGCTTGTAGGTTAAATACAAGTAAGGTCACTCCACCTATTGCCAGTTTTTTAAGTTGGATGTAAACCTTGTGTTGAGCCCACATGCACAGTTTTCAACATTCTGTCTTAAGAAACCGATTGTTAGCCCATCTAATAAGATCGAAGAGTACCAAGCCTGCATTTAGAGACTCGAAAAGTACCGAACCTACATTTAAGGCCTGAAGAGTACTGAACCTGTATTTAAGGCCTGAAGAGTACTGAACCTGTATTTAAGGGAGCGTGTTAACCCATATGACATGATCCACACGTGAGAGGGCATGTTGATGGAAAAATCCCACGTCGAGTATTAAAATAAGAAACTTATGGGTTAAATACAAGAAAAGTGACTCCATCTATTGCGCAAAATTTTCAACACAAGGTAATCCTCCTATACTAGTACTAGAAAAAAAATGTCCAAGCATTAAGTCAGCTTCTTTTTATATTTTGGATAAAATTAATATTTACAGTATCAGTCGTGACTACTTGAATCTCACAAGAAAACAAACTCTATTCATGCACTCCGCATTTCTTGATTTCCTCCTTCTAATACGGAAGCAAAGATCTTATCTGAATTTTATATTATTCGTTCCAGCTAACTAAACAGAAGAATATTATGATTCTCTGCCATTGAATTGGTTTGGTGAAGAAATTAACAACAGCAGATTAATGGATATCAGCCAGCCACGGATGAGAGAATCAAGTGAGAAGGCCAAAAGCCTCAACGATTGGCTTCCCATCACTAAATCCCGAAATGGCAACTTATGGTACTCTGCATTCCACAATGTCACCGCCATGGTTGGCGCTGGCGTCTTGGGTCTCCCTTACTCCATGTCTCAACTTGGATGGTATGATCTAATTCGTGTTTGGTTTCTAGGAAAATTAATTGCAAGAAAATCAGTTCATTGTTAAAAGAAAATTTTTGTTATTTAAATCTTGCCGATGATTGTCTTTGATTTGTGGTAAGATAGAGATGACCAGTGTATTAAAAAAACCTTGTTAGATTCAGTAGTGTCAATGGCTTGATCGATGTGTTGCTGATTGACATGCACCAGACTGCAACATAATGGCTCCTGGATGAGAGGCATTGATGTTGGGTCTCACTCATTCTTGGGCTTAGTTTTTTTAGTACGGTGCTGCCAGCACTCCAAAAACAATTTCTGATATACATTTTTTTTCTTTTTGGTATTAAATTTCTGATATACATTACTGATACTAGGAATATCAATTTGTATTTTATAGGGGTCCTGGTGTTGCTATAATAATTCTTTCATGGGTAATCACTCTGTATACCTTGTGGCAAATGGTGGAGATGCATGAGATGGTTCCTGGGAAGAGATTTGACAGGTACCATGAGTTAGGCCAGTATGCCTTTGGCGAAAAGCTTGGACTTTGGGTGGTGGTGCCGCAGCAGCTGATGGTGGAGGTCGGAGTCAATATTGTTTATATGATTACTGGTGGAAAGTCCCTGAAGAAGTTCCATGACACCGTTTGCCCCAGCTGCAAAGACATCAAAACCACCTACTTCATCATGATTTTCGCATCCGTTCACTTCATTCTCTCTCACCTCCCCAGTTTCAATTCCATCACTGGTGTTTCTTTTGCTGCCGCTGCAATGTCTCTAAGGTAAAAATCTATATAACATATATATACAAATCTTCAATCAAAAGAAGCATAATATTGGCTTGTTGTTCCACTTGCACTAGCTACTCCACCATTGCCTGGGTGGCGTCTGCTAAGAAAGGGGTTCAAGCAGGTGTGAGCTATGCTCCAAGGGAATCAACCAATACAGGAAATGTGTTCAACTTCTTCAGTGCTTTGGGGGATGTGGCTTTTGCCTATGCTGGGCACAATGTGGTTCTGGAAATACAGGCAACAATTCCATCCACTCCAGAAAAGCCATCAAAGAAGCCCATGTGGAAGGGGGCTATCATAGCCTACATTGTGGTGGCCTTGTGTTACTTCCCAGTATCAATGGTGGGTTATTGGGCATTCGGAAACAGTGTGGAGGATAACATCCTGATATCACTAGAGAAGCCCCGTTGGCTCATTGCAGCTGCCAACTTGTTTGTTGTTGTTCATGTTATAGGAAGCTACCAGGTTTAATACCCTTCATTCCCTTAATTTGTATTGGAAAGTCATCCCTCACCGTCTTTAATTCCTCCTAATTTTTTGACAAATAAATAACTTCTTTTTTTATGTGATCTAGGTGTTCGCAATGCCTGTTTTTGACATGGTTGAAGCATTTTTAGTCATGAAGATGAATTTTAAGCCAACCAGACTGCTCCGCTTTATCATTCGCACTTTATATGTTGGTATGCCTTTACTTCTTCTTCAATTTTTGGTTGCATTGCCAATAGTTGGTCTTTAGCTGGTACCATATGTGTTCTTAAATAAAACTTTCTTGACTTGAAAGAAAAGACATCAAACTAAGTAATCTCATCATACCAATAATTTGTTCACAAAAAATATCCATGATTTTAAAGTATGAAATGAACTTACCTGTGAGAAGATTTATTAAGGACAACAACCCTTGCTCATCCACATAACATTTTAAACTTTAGATTGAGTTGTCAGTACTCTTATCTTGTTTATTATGATTCGACTTGCAGCACTCACCATGTTCCTAGGAATGTCGTTCCCTTTCTTTGGCGGCCTGCTAAGTTTCTTTGGAGGATTTGCTTTTGCTCCAACAACATATTTTGTAAGGCTGATGCAAAACTTTTATTTGTTACCCAAGTAAACATAGGAATATACAAAGGAAACATCATCAAAATGAATGATGTCTGGTTTTCATATGACTGCAGCTCCCTTGCATCTTTTGGCTTGCCATCTACAAACCAAAAAGATTCAGCTTCTCATGGATCACGAACTGGGTATGTTCATTCCAGTCTCAATTCTTCATTTCTAAATTGAAAGAAGAGGCTGCAACATTTCAAATACTGATCAATTGTTTATCCTCACTTCTGCAGATTTGCATAATACTTGGTGTTCTTTTGATGGTTTTGGCTCCTATTGGTGCCTTAAGGCAGATCGTACTTCAAGCTAAGGACTACAAGTTTTACTCTTAATTAAGCATCCTAGGTTACTTTTTTTATCTATATATGTTAATGCAAGTTTCTTTTTCTTGGAACTATTAACTCACCATCCCTCGATCATGTTAGGCCAAGGGTTATGGATGCTCAAGGAATGAATTATTATTATTATTATTATTATTATTATTATTATTATTGTTATTATTTTCTCAATATGCTTTGTTATGTTTGCTTTTTGATTTTGTTACCATTTTTTTTTTAAAATGCTTATAAGAGATTGTTCCCTTTGGTTTTGTTATTAAAAAATAAATAATGGTATATTCTATAAGAGATTCACATTTTATAGGGTGAATTGTATATTAAAAGTGCAATTTATCTTATAAATTTATTAAAATATTTTTAATGAAATAATATACTCCCTTTGTTCCAAAATAACTATTGTTTTTCACTTTTTTCTCTAAATTAAGGATTTGGAGATATTAATTGTATTTATCAATAATACCTTTAAAAAATGAATAAAAGATAAGGAGAGGCTTTTTGTGAGTGGGTAATTAATTAAAATGAATGAATAATGGCAAGGTTAAAGTAAAAAAAAATTTGTTTATCTTAAAAAAATGAAAATATGACAATTAATTTGGGAATACATTCAAAATAAAAATATGATAGTTATTTTGAGATAGAGGGAGTAAGAAATAATTTTATTAAATATATTTTAGTAAATTTATAAGGCAAGTTAAATTTTTAATGTACAGTTCACCCTATAAAACACTTTTTTTTTTTAAATTGCACAATTGTAGACAATCCTCTCATATTTCTCATTTCATCACACCCGTATGTCAAATGATTTAAATTCAAAATTTCTTATTTTTGATAGAAGGAAATTATTACTAAATAACTTAAATATGTAAAACACTTTTTTAATTCTATAAATTCTAGTTCCTAGAATTTTTCAAAGAAAATATTCAAATAAGGATACAAACTTTGTTATTTTTCTATTTAAAAATGCAAACTTTGCTCATTTCTAAATAAAGTAGTGAACTTTCAATTTTTTCTATTAAGAATATCAACTTTGTATTTTTTTTTATTTAAAAATATCAATTTTAAATTTTTTTATTTAAAAATTAATTGAATGGTAATGCTAATGTGTCAAATGGCTTTTTTAATCATTTAATTAATTACTAAATAAAAAACATACAAAATTAACATCTTTAAATAAAAAAACTTAAAAATCTACCATTTTATTTAAAAACCAATAAAATTTATGTCCTTAAATAAAAAAAAAAAAGGTGAAAATTCGAATTTTTATCCACACCTTTTCTCTACTCATCATTGGTTTTACTTGGTTTTAGGTATGCTTGGAGTGATTACTTTGCTTACTTGTCCCTTTAGAGGCACCATGTCCCACAATCAATCATTAATTAGATTTCCAAAGTAGTCACTATGTTTTAAAATACTGTTTTTTTTCTTTAAATTAAAGATTTGAAAATAATATTTATATTTATTTATATAATACTTTAAAAAAAATTAAAAATGAAGAGAGATTTTTTGTAATTCGATGATTAATTAAAATGAATAAATATTAATAAGTTTGAAATAAGAAAAAAAATATCTATCTATTTTAAAAAATGAAAAAGTGATAATATTATCTACCTTGACTTAATTGGGTAGATTATGGTGCATGCACTTCTATGTATATGAGTAAAAACATTTTTGTTCATTTCTAAAATAGGAACTAGCATAATTCTCAGATTTCCTTCCATATTTGGTGGTTGGTGTATAAATGGCCTAATATAAAATTCATCTCCAGTATTTTTGAATTAAAGCAAATTAGCACTCATTAAAAAAAATTAAACCAAACTACCATTCCAAAATCACATTTTAGAGAAATCAACTCAAATTTAACCGATTAATGTCAATACATTTATTGTTGACATCAATTATTTTGTTTATTTTAACCGTTAAATTTGAGTCTATTTTTTAAAAATGAAAATTTGATATGACAATTTACTTCAACTTTTTTTTTGGTATCAATTTACTTCAACTTAAAAATATTTGGGAGTAATTTGCAGCATTTTCATGTATAAATAAAAGGAGCCATAAGCTAGACTACATCAATTCCTCTTTTCATCATCAGCATATTCCTGAAATCCAAGAAATACAAAAGCTATGGCTAGGCTCTCTCGGCTTCCAATTGCTTTCGCTCTTCTCCTTGCTTTTGCCTTTGCTATGCAAACGTCAAATGTAAGATCGATCTCTCTCCCTCTTTGTATAATATAAACACATTCACTTAAGGTACTCAGACTAAATTTGCTTGTCTACATAGCTGAATCTCTGTATGTCCTTGCAACAGTATCCTATATTCATATTTTTTTTTTCCCAGTTTTTTGGTGCCAAAACAACATTTCTCAATGCTGTAATTTGAAAATATTACGTTGGCCAATTGTAAGCATATGTAGCCTTGTGTTAAGAGGAAATGCACTGTTATATCTAACTGTTCTATATTTTGTCACTAGGCTGGCAAGGAAGGATCATTGACCCTTCAACGTAAGAAACTTTACATAGACCAACTCTTTTGTTGTGTTTTCTTTCCTATTTATTTGTAAGGACTTAAAAATGTGATGTGTTTTGTGGTCCAGAATGTCCTGATGCTTGTAGCTATCGTTGTTCCCAAACACAATACAGGAACAGATGCCTTGAGTTCTGCAACTATTGCTGCGTTAGATGTTTGTGTGTTCCATCTGGTTTTTATGGTAATAGGGAGGAATGTCCGTGCTACAATAACATTAAAACCAAGGAAGGCACTAACAAGTGCCCATGAAGGCTGAAGCTTTGTTATTCATTCTAATAAAGAGATGTCAATAAAGAGAACGAAATACTTGTTTCAGTCAACGATTAATATAAGAGAACCACCATTTTCTAGCTAAGGTTCTTGTTTTTTTTTTATTTTTTTTTTTATTATTATTATTATTATTATTATTATTATTTTTTACCGTCTGTACATAATCAATTCGAGGTGCTTTCATATTTTGAATCCCACAGCCACACAAAAATGTGATTGTATGGTTGACTTATCAAAGTGGATGGAATCACTATCTATCCAAATGAAATGAGAGAGGTTACTTAAGTTTATGTAAAAATTAACTAGACTCAAAGAATTGGTTAAACGTAAAAAGGGTGTTAAGCACCTTATAGTTTCCATATAAAATAAGTTAAATATTAATTTTAATCTCAATTTTAATTTTTTTTCAATTTTCATCCCTTAATTATTTTATATACTTTTTTAACCTCCCATCATAAAAAATGCACTTATTTGGTCATTTCATCAATTGAATGTGACATGTCCCGTTATCTCGATAAAAAAATTGGATCGCAATATAAAAATAATTTTTTTATTACTTTATTATATGATTTTTATATATTATTAAATAAATATATATATTTAATATCATAAATCTTAAATAAATAAAAAAAATAAATCATTTGAACGACACATAAAATTATATAAACAAATAATAAAACAAGATTATTCTTAAATCATTTTCTATAAAAATTAATCTTTCTTCACTTTTTTTTTTCGGCGTGTGTATTGTATATGGGGCCCTATCTCTAGTTGGACCAAATTAAAATTCGAGGATATTCTACATCCACATTTTAAATAAATACATATTATTTTATCTCCAAATTACATATATACCCCTGTTTCCTTTATTTATATCTTCGTTAACTAAAAATAATTTTGTTTGAGTCTCACTATTTTAATTGAATTTCCTTAACTCCTCCTATTACCTAAATATAGTATATAATTAAAATCCGTGATTAATTTATTAATTTAATTAATTAAGGAAAATACTATAACAGTAAAATATAGGATTACTATTAACTTCGAATAAACAACTTTAATAGTTAAATTACAAATTAAAATGAGACATAAAAAAAAAAAAAGAACCCAGAGCTAAGAGTGTTCATATCCGATCAAATCCGATTAATCTGACCTAAATTAATCCAATCCAATCAAAAATTGATCAAAATCAATAAAAAATTAGGTTGGTTTAAATTATAAAATTATAAAATTGAAATAATTGATTTGGTTTGTGGTTTTATCTTTAAACTGCTCGAATTGCTCGATTACAAAATAAAATCCGATTACAAGATAACTTAATTAAATAATATAATATAATTTTTGGTAGTATTTTAAAATTTCTTTTTTTTATTGTACAAGATAATAATTTCATTAATTTAATTAAAAAATATAAATAAAACATCTCCATATTCCTTAAGTTATTTTTCCATTTTAATCTACACCCTAACCCTAATTCTAAATTTCTAATTCACATGTAACTCTATCCTTTGAAAATTGATTTGCATCTTTACTTCTAGAATCTTGAATTTCTAATTTGTTCCTAAAATAATATTATGATTCTCTTAACTAAGTTTTAAAAAAGTATTATTCTAAAAATCTTAAAACAATTTAATAAATCTAGTCTTGATATTCTACTATTATTGGATATTTGGTTTAAAAGTTTTAAATTTTGATTATGAATGCTTCTAATCAATTTTAGTGAAATTTATGTTAAATTTTATTTATTTTTAATAAGATTTGGAAGATGTGATTAAATTATTAGTACATTAAGAAAAAAATTAATTTTAACCTTTAAGAATTATGTATGCTCTGCTAGAAACTTGAAATTATCTTTTGTTGTTCTTAGTGTCTCTAGTGATGTAATCAAGAAAAATTTTCAGAGCTTTTCAATTTTTACAAATATAAAGGAGTATAAAAACTTATTTATAATTTATATTTTTTTATTATGTTTTTACTAATTTGAATGTTAATGTGTTTTATAATTATGTTTTCTATTTGATGTTAAAATATTTTTACATTATCTCATATATTTAATAATAATAAAAACTGATCAATCCTACTGAACTACACCAATCCGATTTAAGTTGGATTGGTTTGGTTATCATATGATAGTGAATTGGATTTGTTTAAAAATTTTATTAACCGATTAAATTGAATTAGTTTAGAAAATATTAAAATCCGAATCAAACCATACCATGAACACCGCTACCCAGAGCCATAAGTCCCCTGGGGGTAGCAAAATTACATATGAGCCCGTTAACACAACTCTAATACATCATGTAAAAAGTGAGTTAGGTCAAGTAGTCTTTAGATTCATGATTTGTTTGAATCAATTTGAATGGGTTATGGGTTAAATATGAGTTAATTTGTGGGTTCATGGATTGACTTATTTAACTTGTGTGTTTTTAAAATTTTTAAAAAATATTTTTATAAGATAATTGTTTAAGATAAAATAACTAATAAATATAATTTTAAAAAATCTAATATATTGGTGAATATTACAATTTATGAAAATTTTCAAACGTGACTAATTATATTCATTTAAAATTTATAAATTGAGTACTGTATACTATATATAATTAAATGTAAAGAAAGCAAAAAAATTAAATGAATCATTCAAAATATTCCACAAAAATAAGTCATTTTGTTGAAACTAATAAAAAATAATGAAGAAAAATAATTAGAAAATAATTATATATTGTCTTCTAATTCTTTATATAAATGATTGGTGCACTATTACTTTCTTTAGACAAATGATTGGTGCACAATATATATTTTGCCTCCTAGTCATCTAGATGGTAAGTTTTGGAAAATCAGGACTTTTAATTCTTTAACTGTAGTTTGAATAATTTGGATAAACAAAAATAGAGATATTTTTAAAAATAATTAGTGAGATGAGAATAAAACATTCAAGATAAGAGGAGTGCTAGGAGCACTCGCTCCAACACTCTCCCTTCAGCAATCGCTCCTTCATTTAGCCACATCTCTGATGATTTCGAGGCCTTAACTGGGAACCGGCAATTGTGGGTGACCATTTTATTAGCATTAAATTAAAATAAATACATATGATAGTGTGATGCAATATTCAAATTACATCAATGCCCTCGTAATCATCTCCTTCCTCCTTCCTCCTTCCTCCCTGATAGAATCCCTGCAATTTTGTTTTGTTTTCTTTTCCAAACAGAATCCCCCATATTTTAGGTTTGAACTTATTTTTTCCTCTCCTTTCCGTAAACTAGAACTCCTACTCTCCTCTTCTTCTCTACTAAGACCAGAACCAGAACCAGAACCAGGCTTTCTCTATTCTCCTCTTGCGCTAGATCTGGCTGCAAAATCACGCTAGGTTCAGCAAGGAACCCAGATCTAAAAGTATTTTCATTCATTTTGTGGGTTTTTTTGAGAGAGGGCCGATACGGGGAAAAAGGAAGAAATTTGAGAACCCAAATATGGATCTAGCTTTGTGCAATTGTACTCTCTCTTCTTTTCTCTTTCTCTGTTTTATTTCTCATTCGTTCTCATTTTCTTCCTATCGTTGGCCGCCATCGGGCTTGGCTATCTGGGCACGGGATGTTTTATGTGGCCGTTCGTCGGTGTTGGTAAAAGGGGGTTGGGTTCCTTCTGTGCTATGAAGATTATCAGGACAAATTTGCAGTAAAATTAAATTTGTAGAGGAATGTGTAGCACGTTTGCTGGGAAAATTTTTCTTTGCAGAGGAATGATAATATAGAATCCAATGGGTCTTTCTCAAACGCACCCGCACTGCCGTCATCCACCTTTCATTTTTAACCACAACCCAAAGACTTTCTTCAGTCCTTCATATTTCTGCAAACCCTCAATACAAATTGCAACACTTTTCAATTACTCTCCTTTTTTATGATTACTCC